GGTTGATAATTAAACCCAAACCCGCTATACTACGCTTTAGGAAGTGGTTTCACTTGGCCAATTCCTGGAGTGACAGTAGAGTCGAGTCAAGTTTTTGGCGCCGTTGCCGGGGACGGCTAGGTTGTTGAAGAAAATTGATTTCTGTTAATTTAGCCTTTCTTTCTGCTCTGTTTGCTTTGTCCCACTTGTGCCTTCACGGGTTTGCTTGCTTGAGTGTGTGCAGGTAGTGCATGACCCGTAGCCAGTCGGGAGGTTTACTGCCGTTGAATCCAGAGATTGACCGCACTTGTCGCCAGCTTAGGAGACAACAGCGAGCTAGACTGGCTACGGAAGAGCGCATAGACGGCCACCTGAGCAGCGATTCTGAAGAAGAGCACGGGATGGACGGAGACTACAACCAACACCAGGGGAATCCACAGCAGGTTCCCCCGGTGAATCAGGTCCTGGGGAACAACCCCATACCCTAGGATCATGGAGTTCATCATCCACCGCAGCCGGGTCCCACATTGGAGTACTACTACACTCCGCGGATTGCTGACATCCGCCCGGTCATCCTCTACCCGCCTATCCCAGCAAACAACTTCGAGATCAAGCCATGCTGGATTCAGCTCATTACATGTTCTATCCAGTTCCATGGCTTGAAGAATGAGGAGGCCAAGGTGCATCTTTCCCGTTTTCTGCAGCTGACGAACGGGTTCAAGCTGAATGGTGTCCCCGATGATGCGATCCGCCTTCATCTCTTCCCCCATTCTCTGGCGGGGAATGCTAAGAGGTGGTTGGAGACCCAGCCCCCATTGTCCATCACCTCTTGGGAGGATCTGGCTGACAAGTTCGTGCACAGGTACTATCCGGCATCGAAGACTACAGAGATTCAGCGGGAGATCACTCACTTCCGCCAGGAGCCAGATGAGTCACTCCGTGATGCTTGGGAGCGGTACATGGGCTACTTCTGGCAGTGCCCCCACCATGGATTTAGTGATGCTTTCACTGTGGGGAACTTCTACAGCGCTCTCTCCCCAGATAGCCAGAGGGTGATTGAGTATTTATGCCCAGGAGGGGATGTTCTCACCAAGACTCCACCCGAGCTGAATCAGATGATTAATACATTGGCTGCCAGAGATCATTCTTGGGGGCAGAGCAGCAGAGGCAGACATTCCAGGGACCGTGGTGTACACACCATGGAGACCAGATCCGGGCTCGAGCAGCAGGTAGCTGAGCTAGTGCAGACATTGAAGCAGCCCAACAGTCTTATTCCGGGCAGAGGCATGGCTACACCTCCAGTTGCTCAGTGTCAGTGGTGTGAGAGCTCGAGCCACTTAGTAGAAGACTGCCAGGCTATGAGGGAGTCTACTACCCCCCAAGAGCAGTTGGACTTCATCGCCAATGCTCAGCGCCTCGACCCGTACAGCAACACCTATAATGAGGGGTGGCGCATCCCAACTTCGTCTGGAGCAGCAACACCACTAAACCACCTGGTTTCCCAACACCAGCAGGTGGTTTTCAGCAGAGACAGCCCTTCCAGGCTCGCCAGGGGCAGCCATTCCAGCAGCCCCAGCGCCAGTTTGCCGAGCCAGCAGCAGCTCCAGCCCCAGATGACAGGATGACGAAGCTGGAAAACATTCTAGCTTCATTCATGACGAGCACTCAGGCGACTATCACGAGGTTGGACCAGAGTGTAGCCTCACTGGAGGCAGGTCAGCGGAACCAGGGTGCCATTTTGCAGGATCTGCAGACCCAGGTGGGCATCTTGGCCCGCCAGAACACCACCAGGGCACCGGGGACTTTGCCTGCCACCACTGTTCCGAATCCTCGAGATCCCCACCAACATCAGCACCTGGATGCCATTTTTACCAGGAGCGGTAAGGTCATATCTGCTGATCCTGTCCCGACCGGACAGGAGGAACCACTACCTGCTTCAGCACTTCCAGCCGACGATGCAGAAGTGCGGGTGGAGAAGGAAGCCCCTGCTCCCAAGCCACAACCAGTGGTTCAGGAGCATGTGCCCCAGCTTCCCTTCCCCACTCGCCTACACAAGGACAAGCTGGAGACTGAGTTTGCCAAGTTCATGGCAATGTTGAAGCAGCTCAACATCAGCATACCGTTCATGGAGGCACTGTCGAAGATGCCCAAGTATGCCAAGTTCATGAAAGATATCCGCACCAACAAGAAGAAACTTGGGGATCTCTCGACAGTGATGCTGAGCGAGGAGTGTTCTGCTATCCTGCAGAACAAGCTGCCCGAGAAGCGCAAGGATGCATGCATGTAGGCAAGTCCTTGGCAGCATGCATGTAGGCAAGTCCTTGGCGGACCTAGGTGCTAGCATAAACATCATGCCATATAAGTTGTTTAAGAAGCTAGACTTAGGTGAACTTAGCCCTACTAGGATGAGCATTCAGCTCGCTGACCGTTCCATTGTGCATCCTAGGGGTGTTATAGAGGATCTGCTTGTTCATGTTGGTGCATTCACATATCCTGTTGATTTTGTTATTCTGGATGTAAA